GGAATATGTGGTCTCTCTCCTTTAAGATAATCTTCACTCCCATTGCCTATTTTCTTTCAACATACAGTTCCTTCAGTAACTTTAAAGTCCCTGTTGGGATTATAGAGGGAGGGGGTCATATTTTCCCAGTGCCATATATTTTGTTGTTTTGAAGCCCTGAGTTTGTTCTGCTCATAGAATTTCAATTAGAAATGCCAGTTAGTTGTTCCTCTGCCTTCCATGTTCACTGTGATCTCTCTGACGCATCATTAAGGAGTTCAATGTAGAGCTGGGAATATTAATGAGGCTATTTCACTTGCCTCATTATTTAGAGGAAGTCAGAGTCACAATGTCACCCCCAAACTGTGGAATCGACTATTGCTTGCTATCTGTAATTTTCTATCAGTCAGTCACATACTTGCTTCCTACCCTTGTGATTCAGCTGTCATGCTATGCTAGTCTTGTGTGAGCCTGTAGTTTCTAGACAGTGGGACCTTCCTCCCCACATCTTTGGCTCTTAGAGCTTCCAATGCAACTGTTGCCTAGTTAGGTGCTTAGTCAATAATTCTTTAATTCAATTCAGTTGCAGTAGCTGTGTTACCTCTTTATTGCTGACCAAAACACCTGATAAGAACAACTTAGAGGAGGAAAATTTTATTCTGTGCTCATGGTTTCAGAGGTTTAGCCCATGGGCGGCTGGTTCCATCCCTCTGGGCTCCAAGATAGGGAAGAGCATCATGGCCCTACCTTGGCATGGCAGAGGAAAGTTGCTCAGCTCAGGGCAGCCAGAAAGCAGAGAAAGAGGAAGGGAAGGGGCCATAGAGAACATGCACCCTTTTGGAGCAGCCCCCAGTGACCTAACTTCCTCCAGCCACACTCCACCTGCCTGGAGTTACCACCCAGTTAGTCCATTCAAATTTGGATGGGCTGATTAGGTTATGGCTCTCATAATCAAATCATTTCACTTCCTGTATTAACACAGGAGCTTTTAAGAGACACCACCTAGCCGAACCATAATGGTAGCATTCTAATGCAGGTGGCTAGCTGCTCCTCTAGTACTGGCATTTACGGGGGTTAAATGTTCGTGACCCTTGGTGTTCTGACCTCATTCCTTTTCTTACTGTGCACATTATCTTTTGATTTAATTTATGCCCTGGGCTGTAACTGCCAAGTCCTAGGGTAATGATGATTTTTTACATGATCTCTAATCCAGCCTGCTCCCTGAGCTTCATGTCCATCTTACTTATACGTCTTCTGTTATTACAGAAACAGTGCCCAATCCTGAAAACCCCACCTCCTCTTGCATTCTTTCTGGTGGTAAATCAGCATCATACACCCAGGGTCATTGTTTTAACCTCTTTGTTTTTCTTTCTTCACCTGCTTATGTAGTAGACATTTATTGAACACTGTAAACCGCAGTACCAGACAAAGATGCAGAGAATGTAAGAGACGTTGCCTCTGGACATTGCCTGGAAAATGCTGAAATCAAATATACAATATAAAGAACTATACAAACAATGCATATCATAATATAAAATATAACACATTGACGATCATGTTGGCATTTCAAAACCCATTAACAACATCTAGATTTTCCTATATTCTGTGTCCTGCAAATGCATAAATCTTAAGTAAATGTCTTTGGATATATTCACGTGCATTCCAAAGGAAGGGTTTCTCAGAGATATTTTAAGATTCCTACCAGAGTTTCCTATTGTTTACCTTGCATATTTTTTCTTCCACCTCACTTTAGCACAGAAGTGGCACATCCAACTGTGTCAGCCCCATGCTTACCACAACTTCACCTTCAGAGTGTCCTTTGCCTTAATTCTTCATCAGTCACCTATCAATTTAGTTCGTTCTCCTTTTTTTTACCCCTTTTAAATATCTTTAATATCATTCTTTGTCTGAAGAGTTTAACCAGGTTCTTTCTCTGTCTTTGCTGTGATCCATCTAGGCAATGCTAATCTGCACCGTCGCCATAAGAGATTTCTAAAACCCAGGACCAATTTTATCATTGCTTCTACTTAAATAACCCAAGGGTTCCCCATTTTATGTTCAGGATAAAATCCAGACTCCTTTGAAGGCCGAATTAGGTCCTGTGAGATCTGACTCCCTACTATTGTAGGCTTTGATTTCTCCTTCCCTTCCCTTCCTCCTCTCTTCCCCATCAGCTGGAGTTAGGAATGTGAACTATGGAGTCAAACTTTCTGGGTTCAAATCCTGGCTCTGCCATTTATTAGCTGTGTTACTTTGAGAAAGTCACTTGTGCTCTCTTTACCTCAGATTTTTTGTCTGGAAGGTGGGAGAAATAGTAATTCCTGTTTCATACAGTTATTGGGAAGATTTCAGTGAGCTAATGGAATATGCTAAACACTTACAAGAGGGCCTGACCCGTAGTAAGTAATTAATATATTGTGTTACTATTGTTGTTGTTGTTATACGTTTGCCTTAAATTTATCCAAAAAATTGTGATTGGTCTCATTTCTTCCTTTGGGGGGCATAGAATCACCACCTTCAGCTGACCCCCTACCCATCTTTTGAGCTTCAGTTTGGCTGTGATCCCTTTGGGGGAGACTTCACTGCCCCCCTCCCCCACTATAGGCTGCATTAGTTGTCTCGCCCATGTGCCCCTATGTTACCTGTGCACGCTCGGATCATAACTTGAACACTCCAGATGTGGGCCATTGGCATGTGTGATTTTGAATATTTGTGAGTGACCTAAAAGTTCATAATGTTTAGCAATTTGTAATGGGGTTAATAAAATTTTATCTAAATATTTATGATTATTTGGATAAAATAAAGCAAGGCATGAAGTTAGCAATTGTCAGGAGCTATCCATCCCCAAACTAAATTCTATATATTTCTATATCTACTATATTTAAATTTTCTATTTCTTTATATATTTCCCATATTAAATCCTGGGTTTCTGATTGATGGGGAAGGGATGTGGATATCTTTCTCTTTAATAATGTGTAAGTATCAGAATATTTTCCTGGCAAATACTTAATTAGTATTTGCTGAATAGATGAATGTGTATTTTTAAATTGACACAGAATTCCTTTTTTATTTGGGTACTGGGGATTGAACTCAGGGGTACTTGACCACTGAGCCGCATCCCCAGTCCTATCTTGTATTTTATTTAGAGATAGGGTCTCACTGAGTTGCTTAATGCCTTGCCATTGCAGAGAATGGCTTTGAACTCTCAGTCCTCCTGCTTCAGCTTCCCGAGCTGCTGGGATTACAGGAGTGTGCCACCACCTCTGGCTCCTTTTTTTAATATTTAAAAAAAAAAAAAAAACTGACTTTGCTGAGTCATAGTGTGAGGTGTTGACCCTCTTCCTAGGATGATTCACACACATGACTTACCCCAAAATTTCAGAAGGTTTAAGTTATGGAGCTTTGCTTGAGAATATGGCTTCCCACTTATTCAAGAAGAAAGAAGAGAGGGAAACACATTTCTTTCCATTCTAAATATGCAGAGCTATATGGCTGCTATAGTAAAAGGACTTACCAACATTCAACTTTTTTTTTTAGATAGTACTATACTAGTTTATCCTTACCCAGCAAGTTCTTGCTAAAGATAGTAGGATTCATACATTTTAGAGGCAAAATTTTCCTGTGATTTTGAAAAATTAAGGGAAATCAATATGTGTAGGTATGTGTATGTGGGGGGTGTAAATTAGACATATAGAAAAACCTCCAGTCCCCGCTCCCACTCCATTAGCTCATATAAGCCTTATACACTATCTAAAATTCTTTTCATAGGTTACTCTTTCTAACTATGGTATTGAACACTGTCTTGAGTAGCTACCTGAGAAGGCTAATATCTTTGGGCATAGGAAAGGTATATAGAGAGATATATAGAGAGCCAGGTCAGCTGGGACAGAGGATGCCCAGGCCAGGGTCTAGAAGGGCATCCAAGTAGAGAGCCGTTAGCTTGCAGCCCTGCATGAGGGTGAATTAACAAATGCACGCTCCTTTATAGATTCTAAAACTATATGAAGAAAGATGAGGTGCTTTGATTGGTAGCTCTTTCAAAATCCTTCTTAAATGTACTTCCTAAAGAGCCAGCTTCTATGACTCTCAATAGCACAGTTCATATACACCCATATGGTTAGGAAAGAGTTGCCTCAGGGTGAATTATATATGCAGATTCCCAAGACCAGAGGGAAGCTTGCGAAGGCACACACAGATTGATGATTCTTAAACAGGGATCCAGATTGGGGTGAGGTGGGCAGCAGCCGGAAGTTGGGGGAAGCCACATGCATCCCACGCTGCCATCTTGAGAATCCCTGTGTAGTAAGAGGTACATCTGGTGGTGGCAGTGGTGTACACACTAGAGATATGGAGACCAGGAGAAGTGGTTGTGATCCAGCCTTAGGTCCAGTCATCTCAGTTACAGATAAGCAGTTAGGACCTGGAGTAGGATTAGTGGGTTTTCCTACCATACTAGGCTGCTCTTGGGATCTCATACTATATCCAAACGCTTTTATGTTACAAAGTGTTTTTTGGTATGCAAAGTACAATTTTTTTCAAGTAGCTAGGAACCTTTTGATGGGGCTCATGACAGGCTTATAAAAAAGAAAAAAATTAAGTATGAACAAATGAAGAATAACCAGGATTCCTTGTCAAAGTAATGGAAGTGGCTGATACTAGGAACAAATAGGGAGCAGTCCTGTTGTATCAGAATAATATAATATACTGTAGTAACATTGTTTTAAATGGTTGATATATATTTAACTTAGTTACTATATTCAGAGTTTACTGTCCATCCTTGTAATTTTTCCAGGAACAAGATGAAATCATTCAATTAAATTTGGGGAGAAAGCACTGTATATTTTACAGAAAGCCGAAGAATTGGTTTGTAAACTGCTCTTGTAATTCTGGCACATTAACTTTTCTCTTTAGTCCCTTCATTGCTGGATGATTTATGCAGAGGTCAAGAGGCCAGGCTGGGCTATAGCTGCTTCAGTTTTCTATTATGTAAAATGACCTCAGTATTTGTTTTTTCCTTGTAGGGCCTGTATTCCCTTCAGAGACTCCTACCAAGTGGCTGATCATGTGAAGGACCATGCTATTTGATTTCACTCCTACTACTTTTCATTTACTTTACACATTGAGTCATGAGAAACAACTGTCACTCTCCAAGGGAGGAAACTGCCATGATTTACAAAGTCAAGAAGTAATTTTCTTGTAACCACAAGATGATTCAGGTTAGTGGCTTTCAGCTCTTACTGCAATTCAAATACTGTGTTTTTGATAATATGCATGTTAAATAAACCTAATTAATCCCAAATCCCATAATTTTAAATGCATAACAATGTGATATAAAGTAATCTGAAGTTTGTTTGTGCACCAAGTACAAAAACATTTGAAAATATTTGGGGGGGGGGGGGGCGGGGGGGGCACGGAGGGTAAGGAAAATCCTACAAACATATTTATTTATTTTTAGTGCTTTTCTAAGACTTTAGTGATAGTTTTCAAAAATAATATAGAGATGTTAAGTTTGAAGTAGAAGTACCCATGAATTAAAAAGCATAAAAGCTACATATATTACATTTAAGTCTTTTTAATAATATAAAGCTTTTTACTGTCTTAACCAACTTGTATTTAGAATTAGGGTTTGAGTGTATCTTTGAAATTTAAAGCAGAAATTTTTGCTCTTTCTCTAATACTTGTCTTCTGTGGCATTTAAAACAGAGGAAGAATTTATAATACTTATAGTTGGTTTTAGTTATTAAAATGTGGCAATTATATACCTAAGATATGTCTATAAAACAAATCTCTGCTAGAGCAGAGAATCTTAAAACACAAAACAAATCCAGGTAATCTCAGTCTCAGCTCTGCTTTCCTCTGAGTGCTGCTGGGTCCGTAGTAGTGTATTTATAATTTATGTCCAAAGACTTGAAGAACAACTTGCTGGAGTAAAGTATCATTGTTTTGTAGAGGAAGTTAAAGAAATAGCCCATTGATTCATTTGCTGTATAATTAATTGTTTACACACACACACACACACATATATATATATATATATATATATATATATATATATGATCCATAAATGGGATCCATGTATATATAGCTTGAATTATATTTATCCTATATGTGTTGTCCATATATACATCATACATATCACATGTATGTATATATGTGTATGTATACGTGTATGTGTGTGACCATGTATATACATGTGATCACACACATATGGATCAAATGTCATATCCCCCCTCCAAGAACTTATAATACAGTTGCGAACACAGAATTGGGAGCTTAAAATGGTATCAGGAAAAATAATCTAAAAGAGGTAGAGATGATAAATTTTCAATATGTAGAAATATCAGGAGAGACCATTTTTATCTATAGTTATCCACAAAGCCTTTATGGAGCAAGAAGAAGCTGTGCTAAATTTTGAAAACCAGATAAGATTTTGAAGGGGAATGTGATAGGAGAGCATTTCAGATGATAAAGATATAGATGATAGAGAATAGCTTGCTGGATTCATCAAAGACATGAATAAGGGACGGTATATAAGACCTACTCAGGAAAAAGTGAGTAGATGTGTTAGCCATTTTCTGTTCCTGTGTAAAACATCTGAGGCCAGGTAATGTATAAGGAAAACAAGTTTATTTAGCTTGTAACTTGGGAAGCTGAAAGTCCCAGATTAAGTGGCTGCATTATTTCAGCCTCTGGTGGGGCCTGCTGGGCCACATCACAACATGCTGAATGGAGTGTGGCAAGAGTGTGCAAAAGAGGTAGAGTGAAGACACGGTGACACAGGAAGTCAGAGGAATTTAGGAGCCTGGCTTGATCTTTTCATAACAACTTGCTCTTGCAAGAACTGACCACTCCACAAGAACAACATTAATGCCTTCTAGGGATGATGCCCTCATTACTCCATTACCCTGCAGTAGGATCTTAAAAATCCTACCTCTTAAAGCTTCTACCACCTTAACATCACCAAACTGGGACCAAACTTCCAGCTTGTGCAACTCTGGGGGACAGACCCAAACCATAGCAGATTTCTTTGGGTGGAGCTGAGATTGCAGTTGTGGCAATTACAGTATCTAAGACAAGACAGGTAGGCTGGCCCCAAGCTGTGGAGGGTTTTCATGGCAACAGAGGACCCTTGAAGGGTTTTCAACAGGAGGAAGTATTAGTAAAAGGATATTGAAAGAAAAATAATCCAGCACTGGCATGAAATAGAGTTCTAATCTTCTTCTTTGGATCCATGGGGTGGGGATTACAAATTGTAGTAGAAGCCAAGCATGACACAAATGATATATTGCCCCTAGGGACAGGAACCACTCTTGGGGACAAAACAAAGCCTTCTCAAACCTAGATCCCTATCTGTGTAGGCCAAGTGCAGTGTCTCATCTCTTTGATGATATATGAGGAAAACCTTTTCCCTGTTGCTGAAAATATTCTGCAACACTGAATATTTTACTTTTGGGGGGGAGGTGGGTAAATATATGGCAACACTGAGGTGGATGGGTACTGGGGATTGAACTCAGGGCCACTCAACCACTGAGCCACATCCCCAGCCCTATTTTGTATTTTTATTTAAAGACAGGATCTCACTGAGTTGCTTAGTGCCTCTCTTTTGCTAAGGTTGGCTTTGAACTCGTGATCCTCTGGTCTCAGCCTCTCGAGCCTCTGGGATTACAGGTGTGTGCCACTGTGCCCAGCAATATTTTTACTCTTGATTTATGTGTGCATGTGTGCACTTTGCAGTGATCATTAGGAAGTTATACACTTGGAAAGAAATCTTTTTCATTTTGTTTTATTTGTGGACATACCACATATTTAAAGTTGCCTTGGAAATCATGACCGTTGGACATACACCTCAGTGTTCACCCTTTTTGTCACTCTTTCCATTCCAGAAACATGGCATTAAGGAAGATCATTCAAGGTGGGGACTGATGGGAGGGATGTCTTACAGAGGGACATAAGGAAACTTTAGGGTGATGGATTCATCATCTTGCCTTGCTGGCTTCCTGGGTGTATACATATGTCAGAACTTATCAAACTATACACTTTAAATATGTGCAGGTTGTTATGTGTCAATTATACCTAAATAAAAGTATTTTAAAATAAATAAAAATAATAAAAATAAAATTTAAAAATAAAAACAGAGATATTGCTCACTTGGCTGGAGTTTCATTCTTCATCTACTCATTAAACATATTTAGCCTGAGAAGCAAAGGACATGTCATTTCAAAATGTGTCAGATTGATATATTGATTGTGTCGAGCGAAATTACCTGAGGAACTATAACTTCAGAATGGGCCATTTGACCTGTATATTACTATAGGCAGCAAGCCATGAAGATTCTTGTGGGACGGATGTCCTTCATATACCAAGGCTGAGAATTCACCCCGATCACCATAGACTCATAACTGGGGCTGCAGTGAACCTGCATAAGCAAAAGTCTCCCTCATCTTGCTTCTATATCCCTGCCCACCATGTAGCTACCCATACCCAGATCCATCTGTCCTTTCATTCTTTCCAAACTTACTACTTTTTGTCTAAAAAGCATTAAAAGTACCATGCTTTAGTCATTTCTTCAGACTTCACTATCTTGTGAAGATCCCCACGTACATGCAAAATTAATAAAACTTTTATGCTTTCTTTTTTTAGTTGCCAATGGATTTTTTAAAATTTATTTGTTTATTCATATGTGGTGCTGAGGATCCAAACCCAGGGCCTCAAACATGCTAAGCAAGCGCTCTACCACTGTGCCATAACTCCAGACTCTTTTATGCTTTCTTTTATTAATCAGCTCTTATATTAATTGTGTTCCTAGATTTCAAACAAAGAGCTCTAAGAACTAAGGGGTGTAGAGGGTATCTCTTTTCTCCACAATACCTATAAGTCTAGTGCTAGATACTGGGGGCTAAATAAACATACAAGGAAATGTTTCTTCTTTTAAAATTAAGAATCCAGTAGAAGTACTTAATTTTCTATTGATAGAAATACCTAAGTCTTCAATAGTATACGATAACTTTGCAAAACATTTCAAGTCCTATAGAATTTAGGCATTAAATCTTCTAGGATTTAGGCATTAAATCTTCTAAGATTGGAGAATACCATAGGTAAAAATTATTACTTTGTTCACAACATAAAATTAAATTTTTAAAATACGATATGAAACTGTATCCAGTTTTCTAATTTTTTAATAATACATCTACATGAAATAGGAAAGATTTATCAAGAAAAAATTAGTAGCAAGTTACTTTTTTAATTTTTTTTTGAGTTGTAGATGGACACAATATCTTTATTTTATGTTTATGTAGTGCCTCCCACGTGTGAAAAGAGCACTTTACCACTGAGCTACAACCCCAGCTCATAGCAAGTTACTTTCTAATAGGACATTTTCATTATTTAGATAGTTAGCATTTCTTACAATGAGCTAATCTGTTCATTCCTTTCTTTGTTTCTTCTTCTTCTTCTTTTTTTGAAAAGCCTAAAATGCCTCTGGAGACCTAAGCTTCCATGACAAAAAACTTTCCTTGCAGAGAGCAGGGAAAGAGAATTTAGCAAGCCACACACTGTTCTGTGCAGCTGCTGCCAAGCAGCTAATCATGTTTAATACCCAGCAAGTCCCATGGCTTTGCCTGAATTCAAGTGGGTGAATGTTATCCTAATCACATATCCAGAAAAGGAAATCCGAACACTGGGACTTCCCAATGGGATCCTGATGCTAGAAGCAGGAATTGTTCATGTCCTTCTGACTCTGCATCCATGGGAAATATATTAAGCCATTTACCCCTCCTGACAACTTCCTGTTCCTTTCTCCCCGCTCTTCCATCCTCCAAGAAGTAAAGACTGCAAGTAAAACAAAACCCCAAATACTTGGTGTAAAAAGTCTGCTGAATTAGGGAGGACTCTTTTGATGGTAAGGTCAGAAATCCTACAAGCTTAAGCGTAGTGGACATTATTGACTCTTTGTGCTGAAAAAGGTAAGGTGTAATCCTCAGGAGCCAAACCTCAGAGACTTGAACAAGAAATCCATGCTGCCATGACATTTTTTCTCATTTATCTTTCCTCCCAGATTGTTTTTCCTGACTTCATCCTCTCTACCTAAAGACAAGTCTTTTCTGTACAGTATAAAAGATGCTGCCAACACCTTAATCTTTATTTCCTTCAGTTCTGTGATGCCAAAGGCAGCGCCATTTCTTATTAGCCCCATACTGAGATATCTTAGACAGCCACA